TATGAAGGGTGGGCCGCCTGGCGCACGTAGCTTAAGTAGCACACTGGCCCTCAAACAAGCACGATCTTCACGCGTGTGATTCCAGGGGCCGCAGACCATTGAGCAAAACTACAAGCCAACGGCCATTGAGCTCCAGCTAAAGGCCAAACGATAAACATATTTCAGATACAGCTTAGGGCGGGCATGGCGGCGCCCCGAAAAAATGCTCTTTGTTGGGAACTGGGAACGGGGATCTCCCCATCCTCCTCCTCCTCCTCCTCGCCCTCATGTTTGCTCGTACTGAGCCTATCATGTTTTCTTCCTCCTTCACCACCATGGTCACATTATTGGTGTTCTACGCTTCTCCCTTCCCCCTACCCCCTACTATGCCGTACTCTTCTCTCCCTCCCCTCACGCCTGTTCCTGCATATCCCTCCTCACTCTTCCCTCCCCGCCTAACTGATCTATGCCTCCATCTCCACCGCCCCCACCTCTCTCTCTCTCTCTCGCAATCTAGACTGTATAGTATAGCTCTCAGTCTACATTGTACATATTTACGATGTTACCTGCTACCTAACCTATCTGCACCTATCTCTCGCTGCGACTCTGATCCCTGACCCCTCATCTTTGCTTTTCTGCCGAACCTGCGTTGCAATGTTGCTCCTGATTCTTCCTCCTCCTCGCTTGCCGCTCGCCCTATGCCCCTCACCCCATCATCCTCGTCACATTCCTCCTCTCTTCACCTCTGCCCTCTGAAATCTCGGCCTTCCTCCACCTCCTCACCGACTCTCTCCTGCATCCTCTGGTCCGCCCCTGAGCCGCTGAGCCCAGACACGCCCTCAAGCGACTCAACGGCCACGCGGAGGAGACCGCTGCCCGGAGGGAGGGGGCGACGGGTTGGGCCTGCGCGTTTACCTTCACGGCCCCACGACCCGCTCCAGGCTCCAGGACCCTTCCCCACCTCTTCTTCAACCTCGGCCTCCGATGGGGGCCTGGCAACGGGATCGAGAAGGCCGCCTGCCCGGATCGACGATCGAGCATTGAACAAGGTCCCAGGGCCCTGGTGGTTTGCTTGACCCCACCCACCAAGCGATCTAAAATCGGCAAGCGGCAAAACGGCACGCGGGGGCTAGGATGGCAGAGAATGGAGGGTGGAACGGATGACGAGAAAGTTGAGAAGGAGGAATGTGACTGCATTTAGCATTTAGCCTCGCGCGGCCTGCGCCGCAGCACACAGTACACAGTATTCAGTACTCAGTACACAGTAGGCAGTCCACAGTACACGAACCCGATCAGCGACTGACGCCAGGTTCAGGGAGCGCACCTGGAGCTGGATCTGCCTCCAACTCCAAGAAGGCATCGGCCCCATCATGCTCCACGAATTCATCTCTGGCATCTGAGCGCTTCTTGAAGGACCATACGTTGACTCCATACTTCTTGAACGCATGCTTGTGCGAAGCCTCAGTATCATACTTGTGAGCAAGCTTCAAAAACAGAGATAAGATGCCGAGTGGACGACCAGCACCCTTAATGTCATTACATGTCCTGGTCAGCGTGCATGACTTGCCATGGATCCCACACTGAGCAATTATACTGTTAGCGATGGGATCATACTTCATGTAAGGCATGACTCCGGAGTCGTCCCTGAAGCGCGGCACATTGATCCTCAAGAGAGGTGGCCCTTTCGGTCCACGGGCAACGCGCCCGCCTGCTGCTGCGGCACCCCGGTCATCATCACCATCAGAGCCGTCAGAGCCGTCCTGATCTTCATCGGGACTAAGCTCATGGGAGTCTGAGGTCGTCGAGGTCGAGGTGGAGCTGGAGCTGGAACTGCTGTTGTCGCGACTGCTGGCATCAGATCTCCCTCCACCAGCTCCTCTATAAGGGCCCTCTTCATCATCGTCGTCATCGCTCTGCTTTCCGTCGCCATCGCCTTCTTCGCGCCCCTCCTCTGGAAAAATCTCTCGTTCAAGATCCTGAACTTCCTCCGCGTTGCTCTCGGGCCTCTCGGGCTCGGGGTCAGAGGATACCTTGGCAACCTTAGGTTCTGGATCTCCGAATATATCACTATGGCTATCGTCCTCGGGGTCCTCGGAGTGATCATCGAGTCCTTCTGCAGGCTGGTCGATGAGTTCGCCCAAGTGGTCAACGACGACATCGGATAAGTCATCACCGCCGCTGCCGTGGCCATCTGCATCACGCCCATGGCCGCCTCCAGGATCAGGAACAACTCCCTCCGCTGGCCGACGACGCTTCTTCTTCTCTTTCCCAACACCGTCATCACGACCATCATGATCATCACGAGTGGTGGATTTGGGTTTCCTTGGTCGAGGCTTGGGCGGCGGCTTCTTGCGGTCATCAGGCCCTGCCCAGATGTCTGCGGGGTCGATGGAGTCCATCCGATCGACGCGCACTACGGCAGGCCGAATCCGAGCCACATTCGCAGCATTCGTGCGAACCTTGTAGAATTCAACTCGCCACGTTCTGTCTAAGTCCATGTACGATTCAACTGAATGCCAGAGCGTCTCCCAACCAGCAATACCAGAATCATCGTCTTGCAATACGTATAGTAGAGCAGACGCAGGAGATCCCTCGTGAGGTTGAGAGGGGTCTGGGTCTGTTTGGCCGAGAGCAAGTACAGAAGGCCTGTAAGGGCTGAGATACATCATTGACACATGCAACCACATGATGAGGTTGGCGCCCTCAAGGTCGTCGGGCGGAAGGCCCGATTCCAATCGCAAAACAACGAACCCGCGCAGCAACAAGAGCTTCAGCTCCGAGGAAACGAACGCGCCCGACATGGCCTTCAGAATCTGTTTTCTGAGCCTGGCAACCGCGTACCCGTCGCCGCCACAGATGCAACGGCCAGCTTGGAAACATACCTGCTTATCCTTCGGGACGGTAGCCTCGCGTGGCGCAAGCAACAACAGCAAACGAGCAAAATTGCCAACATGGTCGGAGGGGGTAAGGATTAAGAGGAAGTGGAGGAGTAAGAGGACAAGGGTGGGGGAGGCTTGGCAGCAGCAATCCAAAGCAAGGAGGAAGACCACGCCAATCATGATATGGCCTTCGGCCCATCCTGCCACCATGGCCGGGCCGTGGGCCTCTGTGACGTTCTTTGAGATCTATCGATCGTCTGGTCTGGAGTCCGTCGAAGGAATGTTGGATGAAATCATCTTGGGCGTCGTTTTGGGGCCTCGTGGGACCTCTGTTTGCCCTCTTTGGGAGCTGCTTGGGGGCATTTGGGGCTGCCTGGGGGCCTCATGAAGGCCTCTTGGAGCAAAAAGCTCGGAGCACCTCGGATTTTGATTCTCGGTCTTGGGGCCCTTGAGCGCCTCTTGGGTGGTCTTGGGTCCATTTGGGAATCTGGGGGGCATCGGAGGTGCCATTCTCCTCGTCCTCCTGTTTGCCTCGGCCCTCGTCCCTCGCCCTTCCTGGTGGTCCTCGTGCCTGGGTCCCCGAAAGCCCTAAAGTCCCTGAAGGCCTCAGGCCCTCCTTGCCCGAATCCCTCTCAAGTCGGGCGGGGGGGTAGGGGGCTGGCGTCTGGCCCCGACGACCTTGGGCAGATCAGAATTCGAGATGCATCGATGCTTACCCTGCCAGTCCGTCACCAGCTGCGATTGCAAACGGTACTGAGCAGGCGCATCAAACAGAGAACTTGCCATAGACTCGGGAACGCTGACGTCAGCCTTGGGTATCTCAGCATCTCTGACGGGCATCTGGTACAAGTCTAAGTTGTATTGCTTAGCAAACTCCATTGTCGGCGACCTCTCGTCACGAGCTTCCTGAACATATCTCGCCAGCGCAGCATCAGCCGTTCGCCCCCTCTCAATCTCGACCTGTCGGTGCAACGTGGCCTTGGTCATCTCTTGTTCCAGCATCTCCTCAAAGGTAAGCCCCGTGGGCAAAAGAACATCCTGACCTGGTTGGTGATCACTGTCGCAAACGGGCACCGACTCCAGATGACCTCGAACGGCAGTTTTGCGACGAGCGTCGCCGAAAGGTTTGACGCCGTTGAGGGCAGCTAATCTCGCCAAATGACCAAGCTCAATGAAGACGTTCATCTCCTCTGGCGTCAGCGCTCGGTACTGCTCCCCAAGCTGCCTGAATGTCGGCTTCGCGCCGGCTGGCGCTTCATGCCACCTGGTGTGAACGAATGCGCGCCATGGGCCGCCAGAATTGCCAGGTCTAGCACGACGTTTTCTGCCAACTTTCTTCTTAAGATCAACTTGTGGATTGGAGCCAGGCCGGGTCGAGTGCTGCGTCTTGGCATACCAAACACACTGTCGAGAACGTCGCTGTCGCAGCATCAAGAATTGAGACGACAAATCCTCAAACTTGATGGAGTGTGTCTGGAGAGACTTGTACTTGCAGATGCGGCGGATCGATGCGTTGCGTGCTTCTATCTTGGAAATGTCAATGCTGACCATAAACGCGACCACCTCGAGCTCAGCGAGGGCATCGTCGCTCTTCAGCTTGCTGGCAGTGTTGTAATCTGCCGTCGTGCCCTTGGGCACGGAGTGGGCGCGTCCTCGGGTCCTTTCCCCCTCCTGCGGCCCTCCGTCCCACAGACAGCCTCAGTCCTCACTGCTGAGAGCCAAAGTCTTGATGAGTCTTGAAGGGGTTCGGAGCCCCGTGGCCCCGGGGCCAAATCTTCTCGCGCGTCCTGCATCCCCCCGCGTGATTTGCGCGAGCGCCACGGGATTTCAATACTCTAGGTCTAGGGACGAGGGAAACAACCATTGAGGACCCAAGGAGAGGAATCGCTAACCGAACATCGGAATCTTCCACCCCCGATGGCCCCACGAGGCCCTCAAGAGCCCCCAAGAGGCCCAAC